GACTAGGGTAGTCTAGTGCAGTTTAGTGCACCCTAGTGCACCCTAGTGCTGTCTGATGTAGTCTGATGTAGTCTGATACAGGCTGATGCAGCACGATGCAGCACGATGTAGTCTGATGCAGCATGATGCAGTCTGATGTAGCATGATGTAATCCGATGCTTTCTGATACAACATGACGTAGTCTGATGTAGCATGATGCAGCATGATGCAGTCTGATGCAGCATGATGTAGTCCGATGCAGTCTGATGCAGCATGATGCAGTCCGAAGCAGCATGATGAAGAGTGATGCAGCATGATGCAGTCCGATGCCGTCTGATGCAGTCTAGTGTACCTTAGTGCAGTCTAGTGCAGTCTAGTGTAGTCTAGTGTAGTCTTGTGTAGTCTAGTGCAGTCTAGTGCAGTCTAGTACACCCTAGTGCAATTTAGTGCAGTCAAGTGTAGTATAGTGCAGTCTAGTGTAGTCTAGTGCAGTTTAGTGCAGTCAAGTGTAGTATAGTGCAGTGTAGTGCAGTCTAATACCGTAGATATACCATATGATTTATGTAAATTACTAGAAGACAATGGATGAGCGATTCCTGTATTTAGGAGCACGTTTCGTTGCTAGACGCCGCCATCTTTAACTGACACCTTGACACAGGAAACCCAAACTTGGAAATCAAAACAAATTAATTTTTGTTGGAGATTCGGCTACGTCTTTTTTACGTGCTTATGTTAGGTTTATTCTCTTCCTCTTCAATCGGTTTTATCTGTTCAAATAAAAATATCTATTTTACAATTTTTATTTGTTTCTTTAAAGAACCACAACCACAGGGAACCCAATTCTGAAATAATCGAAGCATTGGATTCAAGATGGCGGACGTTAGAGAGTGATTCCTAGAAAAATGGATTGAAAATCCTCTATATTTAAGCAAAATGAGTGGAATGACACCCCTTAGATTTGTTAGAAGTGCCATATTATCAAGTAAGGACTTATTTTGTTTGATGTTTTTCTTCGCAATTACCATACAAAGCACCAAATATTATCCAGGGAGGTTTACTGTATCTTTATTTGTTGGTAGGTTTTATTGGAGCCACAGGTGCAGTGACTTACAACACCTGGAAGAGAGATAAAAACCGGGCCAAGCAGTTGTTGCTGTATTCTGCTACAGCAGGTGAGAGTTTCAATTTTAAAATATATGTTAGGCAAGTTATAGTAAGACAAATAAGCTTAAGTTTTTCTCCTGAAAATTTCCTGCTCAGATGCGAGGACAGCCTGTAGCTTTGAGGAGGAAGGGGTGGGGGGATGAGCACAAATGCAATCTCCCCTCCCCCTCACACACATACAGTACACACACACTGGCTGCATTGCTTTTTGCTGCTTGCTCCTGAATGTCCTCAAATTTTATCAGTTTTTTATACTTGCAGCTTTTCATTATTGTATAAGTCTTATGCACCCTCCCTATGATATGCCATAAAACCCAGGTTATAAGCCCTCCTGGTTATAAGCCCATCAAAAAATCCTTATGAATGGGTATAAGCCCAAGGCTTATAATAGGGATTTCATGGTGTAAGCTTACTTGTTGATCATCAAGAATCTTGTAAGATGCTCAAGCCTATTTCTCATATATGTTTCAGGAACTTCTGGTCTTCTTGTTGGGTATGCCATTGCGTCCTTCAAACGTCGAAATGTGTACACTCATGGACTCACTGTTGGAGGAAACTTCTTCGTTATGACAGGAGCTTTTTTAGGTAAGGTTGTCTTAGATGCTGGAGCATAGTCTTCCTAGGAGGCTACCATATAATTATAACCCTAATTACATCTATAAGCCCGCTTAGTCATAAGCTCTCCTTGTTATAAGACCACTAGTCTGCTAATTCAAATGTCCTTCTAGTTATAAGCAGTCCCCTCCTTCTCGGTATCATGTTTATGGTGTTGCAGATGACACATAAGAGATTGATTGGGAAATCAAATAAAAATACAATATCTCAGTGATACCTCTTTATCTCAAACTCTTTCTCCTTCTGATTTAAAGCTTCCCCAGTTATACTGTAAGCCATAAGTCCATCACAAAGCCACTATGAATTGATGTAATTAGCCCAGGGCCTTAACAGTGCGACTACTCCAACCAAAGCCACCTCGACAAATTTTCCACAAATTATCCAATAGTGTTTGAGTATTTAGACAATAGATTAGCAGCAAATTTTGAATTTAAATATTCTTCCGTTGTTCCRGTTGGTAAAACTAAATGATGAAGAAGAGCTGGTAATATATTTTCTTCGCAAATTAGTGATTTGTGTCACCAAGGATATAGAAAAATAGTAATGTATGACTTCAAATATGACAGGAAAGCAAATTAGAGACTGTATAAGACACAGTCTTTACAATTACAGTTTGTTTCTTCCAGACAAAGATATTATCAGGCTGACACTGTTAGATCTTATCACTATGTTGCTATACGACAGCACGTTTATATTCAACAACAAAGGTGCCGGCAGTCTTGAAGCCGTGTAAACCCATTGATATTTGTCCGATTTGTAGCAATTCTATTGTTCAGATTCCTACTTTTGATTGGCTAATTTGTGGAAAATTTGTCGAGGTGGCTTTGGTTGGAGTAGTCACACTGTAATAACCAGGATTCTAGATGACATATTTTTCTCATCCATTCTTTCCTTTTATCTAGTATTTCGTGATAGTATCCTTTTCCAGTTTGGTAAGGGAAGAAAGCAGTTATTTACAAATGAATCACCTGATTCCAACATCAATATCTTATTGGCTCGTCATCCAGTATCACCGATGTTTGCAAGTGCTGTTAGTGGTGGTCTTACTGGATTCATCTTGTCCAGTGTCTTTTGTAAGTACTGTACTGTATTCTTGTCACGTAATAACCCCCTTGAATGTAGACGTTTTATCCTGTGCTGTTAGTGGTGGTCTGACTGGATTCATCTTGTCCAGTGTTTTTTGTAAGTACTCTATTCTTGTCACATGATAACCCACTTGAATGCAGACTTCTTGTCCTGGATTTTATAGACTTGCCACAAATAGTCCCATTTCTCCTTCAGTAAACACCACTGTGTTTCATATGACTTAAGACTCATTCATAATTGATTTGCAAAAGTCAAGTAATATTAAAAATGTGCACCCGTCATCAAATAACACTATTTTTTTGAAATCCTACGGACTTTAATGGTATCTGTGAATAGCCAGCTTATAAACAAGGCTAAGCCTGTGCAAATAAGTCTGTGGACTTAAAAAATAGTGGTATACATCAAATGTGAACTGGTGCATTGATCACATTATTGTTTTTCCTACTTCTTGTGACCTTATTTAATCTATTTAATCTACAGGGAGAGGACCACTTGTCATTGCTTCCAATTCTATTCAAGGCATTGGTCTAGGAGTCTTAGGTATACATGACAAAAAAACTTTAATTATAACCTATTCTTGGTATGTAACTCCTAGAACATTCCCAGAAAGTAGCAAAAAAGAGATCATGGTCATGAATGTTGTATTATGGAGTGTACTTGAACTGTGGGTGCTCGTGGTGGGTGTATTAGCTAAGAGGAATTGGTAGTACACTCTCCTCTCACCTCTGGGGTTTCAGGTTTGATTCCAGGACTCAGCATCACATATTCATAAGGTTTATTAGGTCTTTCTATCAATTCGAAAATTTTTCTCCTTACTTCCATCAGCTCAGAGGTTGTACAGGGTTAAATTTGTGGGTCAACTATGCCCTGAATTTGATCAGCTCAGAGGTTGTACAGGGTTCAATTTGTGGGTGGTCAACCATGACCTGACTTTGATCAGCCCAGAGGGTGTACGGTGTTTAATTTGTGGCTCAACCATGCCCTGACTTTGATCAGCTCAGAGGTTGTACAGTGTGATATAATTTGAACGATATTCCATTTCAGGACAGTTCTTGTATGATAAATACAGAGTCTGGAGACTAGAGAAGGTTCTGGAGTATAACTACCCTCAGCTGACAGGAAATGCACCTAAACCACCGCAAGAAACAGAATTAGAAGAGGTATTTTTTTAATTTWAAAAAAGGGATGTTCTAGATATCTTGCTACAAGGATAGTTATTCTAGCCTCCTCCAGGTTCTCTAGTTTTCCTCCCTCTGCAAAAACCAATGTATGGTTGAGAGTTGTGTGCTTTGAATATTAAATGTGGTAGACAGTGAGTGTGAAGTGTATTGTATAATTGAACATAAGCCTCTGGACCCTGCAAAGAAGTGGCAGTGAAACGAAACGAAAAGGGGGTAAAGCCCTGAAAGTAATCCAATAAGCAAAGGAAAATGCAATACAGAAATTTGGAACTACCTTAAAAAAACTCTTTAAAAGTTGTCTATGCAATGACTCCCAGTGTCATACACCAAAGGTTAATAAAATGTTAGATTCTACAGGTACATGAAACAATACAATGTTGACTGACTTTTTGCTCCATTTTGATTCCCAGAAACTTCACTGGAGTGACAACATTAAAAATTTCCTCACAAGAGAGACATACTCATCACAAGTCAACAACAAAATAAGACATCTTCAAATACAACTAGAGCTGTTGGAAGAGGAAGAGGAAAAGCTTCAATCAAGACTTAAAGCTGGAGAAAACAATTGAGCAATAATTGTTGTGATTATTAAGAAACCGAACCCTGATATAATAGAGAGGCAGTATTGCTCCGGGGCACCTTTTTGTTGAGCAACAAGCCAGAAAAGATAACTGAATTTGTACAATCTTTGTAATTACATGGAAAGGGAAGATACACTAAGGATGTGACAGCTCTCATCTTAAATCTTAATCATCGCAGGAAATCTATGTATTTTAACCCTGTAATGAGAAAAATCAAGAAGACAGATCCTGGTTGACTTTATTTTTTGATTGCTTTGTTTATATGACACTGATCTTTTTCAATATGTACATCTTCATTGTACATGTAGGTTCTCCATGTGGCTTAGAATGCTCTTTTTACAGCACAGTTATGCCGCCCCCTTCCCATCGATCTCTTCCTTATGCAAGCTGCTTTGTCCCTTCTCTTCATTTGTGCTGCATTCCATCTGTCCAACTTTTTCTTCCCATTCATCTTTTGGTTTCTCTTGCGGTAGCTCTGCACAGACCGAGCTCTTTTAGCTGAAAACTTGTCATATGGCTTGATATCGTGACATCTTTTACTTTCACAACAGGAAAGTTCCATGTTGTCAGTACTCACTAAGCTATCGAGCAATTGAGCCAGATAGTACTGAAGAGTTAAAAAAACCTCTTTGTAGGTTCGCATCAAGGACTTGATCCTTCGAGAGAGTCGCACATCATTAGCAGGCCAGACAGTGTCATACCAAGGGGACAGGTCAATATCGGCATACCATGGGACAATGCTTAGTTCACACGGTTTCTTGTTCAGTAGTGATATATGGCCTGGTTTAGCCATCAGCTCATGCTTTCTACCTCTCTTTCTTCTCCTTCCCAAGCATGTTACTCTTGTATCGGCACGATTCCTCTCCAAGACCTTCTTCAATGGGTCGGCTCCTTTTGAAGTGAGTGATTCCAGTACACGTGATTGTTCATGTTCTTTCAATCTGTTCCTGATGCTCCATACTCTCACCATACTAGATGAGAGGAACTCTCCATTAGGATCAACCAGGACTGACCACCCATCTGCTGACAGGCTTTCAAATGGATCACAGATCACTCTTGATCTGGTTCGTGTTCTTGGCGTATAGAAGCCATGAGAATCTCGAATGTCATTCAATTGATGACAGACACTCAGGGTACTGGCCTCAAGAATGTTGACTCGATCAGTACCCGGAACGATCTGGGGTATTGCCAAATCCAATTGCAGGTTTTCCAAACTCTTCTTAATCATAACGTCTCTGACATACTCGTACGGTACTGCACGATGCTTGTTAATTAAGCAAGCTTTCAAGGCTTTCCTAACGCACTCTTTAGGATGTATCATTAGTGGAGGGTAAATCTTCAACCTGTTACCGTATCGTTTCTTTTTGCGCATGCGGAAGTCACACCGCAGCGCGTTTTTGTAAGGCATTGGTATTGGGTTTGACGTTGATGCTGGTTCATTCTTTACAGCGGGACTGACTGGAACAACTATGTAATCTTCCAGGACATTCTCGATGTTTTCGCTATCACTTGGCGTGACCACCACCCACACCCACTCGTTATCATCCTCGAAATCCGTGCATACTATATCTAGAGGGTCGTCAGAATCACCTTGAAGCCAGGATGACAAATAGCTTAGCATAGTGTTCTTCTTGGTAGTTTCCCTCCAGTGGGTGACGTCACAATCACGGAATGAGCAAGCTAATTACGCGCGCGTGCGCGCTCACTTATGACGTCATATACAAATAAGATAAAAAACGTTTTAGCCGAAATTTTTTAAGAAGACCTGAGTAGACGAAGACATTTAAAAACATTTTCTTTCTTATAGGACATAAAAGAACCTGTTGAATTATTATGGAGCACGTGTATGACTAGACCGTAGTAGCTTGATTCACATTGCTCAACGTTTTCTCTTTCTTCACAAACGTTTGAAAAGATAATTTTTGTGTGGATGAAATGGGATTATCAATTTCAATTTCCCCAATTCTCTCAACGATCGAGACAACAATATACGACGCTGTGTGTTAGAATTTTAACACACGTCGTCTTGCGCGGTGTGAATATTGGACGAGATCAAGAAGCTTCACCATATCACGTCACTATTTCCAGTTACACGATCCAATGCAAACGAGGTCACTAGTCTTCCCTTTTCTTAAGTAAAAGCGAAGACCTCATCTCTGAAAGCAAGCTAGACCAGCCTTGCGGATGAAATAACTATTCTTTATTCAAATCCAACTAATGGTCTATCAATGCTGCGCTCTGATTGGATGAGCTACTACTACTGTAGGCTATAAGTTATATCCTAATACTAGTGCTGGCTTTGAAAACCAAAACATGAAATTTAACTTAAATTCAAAACTCCTTTGCATCTTTATATTTGACCGACTAGTTGGATTTGACTAAAACAATTAATCCTCTCGCACTCGTGGCCTATGAGTCAATAGACCATTCGGGCTGGAGGACTAATTGCTAAATATCCCACTAGGTGCAATTAGACCTTTACTAACAAATAAAACACGAATGTTCTACACTCTGATATTATTTTTATTAATTGCAATAAATAATTATTGATATTGTGTGCTCAGCACGGAAACAGTCCCAGATCTACTGGAACTGCTATGGACCTACTAATACTAGACAATACTATTTATCGACGACCTGCTATAAACCTGTGCTAAAACTAATTGTCTTTAGAATGGTTTTACTTAACCCGTGAAATATCTAGTCAGTAGACTAATAGTTATAGAGGGTAGTGGATCTTATTCCTTTTTGTGTGAGTGTGTGTCTATACACCGAATCAAAATATGCCGACCGATTTAAATAACTATTCTTCGTTTGCAATAGACGTCATAGCCGCCATGTTGGAATAATTTGACAAAAGATTTTTAAGGCCCCGTCCACACGTATCCGCAAATTTGTGTATTCGCCAATTTTTTTTTTTTCGGACACGGGTTGCGTCCACACGTGTCCGGAAATATTTGTGTCCGTATCCGCAAATTTTACGGAAACGGATACGTGTGGACGGTGAAAACGATTCGAATACGCTGCGTGTGGACGCAAACATTTTCGTATCCGCAAAAAATAATTTGCGGATACAAAAATTTCCAGATACGTGTGGACGGGGCCTAAATGAATTCTTTTGTTATATCTTCCAACATGGCGGACATCCCTTTTGTTATTGTGCTCTCTTGGGATTGATTGCAAACCAAGAATTGTTCTGTTTTGCACTGACTAGCGACTGACTAGCCTCGTGCTCACGTGGAAACATAAAAGCGTTTCACAAGTTATTTAAATCAGTTGCAGTATTTCGATTCGGTGTATTAACTCTAGCCTGCTGCGTTCCTAAACGAGCCGACACTAAAAACGTCTGCATAGCAGGCTAATCTAACTCTTACGCATTAAAAATTGTTGGATCACGGCTTAAGTAAAATCGCGTTGTTTACTAGTACTATTTATCACTCAATTAGTACTTTTGTTATGAGTTATTGTGCGCACTCTATTCAAAACTGCGGATACACTTATTTCAATAAAGTTAGTCACCAAAAATCTAGAAAGCTTAGATCACTGAGCATCATGGGAAACGTTTCATATCAAAAAAAGCATATATATACAAAGCTTTTTTAATACAAACTGCAGCTCGATGATGCTCAGAAGAGGTGAGACTGTAACCGTCAAAAGATTCGCAATTCCATGAACAGTTATCAAGCGGTTGAACGTGTAAATGAATCTACCCATAATCCTTGTCGGCCTCGGCTTTATAGCTTTTCAGGTGACCAACTTTATTGAAATAAGTGTATATACACTCCTTTCTCATGAAAGGCCATGCATTTCATCCCGGCTCAGAAGTATTAGATTTGAAGGACGCTGCATAAATACTATGGTTGTCTTTCCTCATGGAAATGTCGACAAACTACTATATTTATGGCAAGGTAAAGGTAGTCGGTAGTTCCTACAGTTGAAATTCAACTGCTATCAATGGAAGCCGACGGTGCGCAATTTACCCCCTCTCTCCATCAGTGCTCTGTTTTAAGAGTTTTTAAATCTGAAGCTACATGGATTAGAGAGAAGTTGAAACAGACGTGGAGATCCTGAGGATCGAACCGTGGACCTTAAGCTCTAAAGGCTAGACACTAACCAACTGAGCTACTCCTGTTCCGAAGTGCCCTTAAAAGTCCAGAATAAAAAACAAGTGCATTTTGATTATATAATTTAAATCGCGTACGGTGCTCCTTGGTAACACGTGATATATATGTTAAATGAAATAATGGATAAGTATGCTACAGATGAGGTATGGGAATGAGAAATGATTGAAAAAATAATTTATATCACTCGTCCGATTTTGGACAATATCTCTCTTCGATTGCAGGATACGACATGGCGGTCATGTTGGTGCTATTTGACGAAAGATTTTTCATGTGCATCTATCGTTAACGGCACCACAATGGCCGCCATGTTCTTGTCTTTGACTCTTTTGGGAATGCTTGCAACTTATCAGTTGCATGAAATTCATACATTATTGGGCAACGCAATAAATCCCCACTTAATGACAAATGAAAACTGCTGAATGGTATTTGGATAACAAAAGGTGTTTCTTATTTGACAACACCAGCTATCCCCCTCACCCCCCCCCCCCCCCCCCCCCCCCCCCAAAAAAAAGAAAAAAAAGATGGAAATACGAGCTGTATAATTATTGGATAACACAACACAAATAGAATGCTAATTAGATAAAAAGTAGCCGTTTTCTCATTGGACACTCCAGTTGAATACTCACTAGACGCACACCAGATGAATCTTAATGCTCATTGAACAATACAAGCTGATTGCTTATTGGACAAAACAAGCTGATTGCTCATTGGACGACACAAGCCGCGCTGGTTACTTTGCCGTCATTTTCTGCAGCTGCTTTGTTTGTTGTCATGACAATACTAGCGGTTGCTTTGAACTTGTCACCCTCTCCTCCGTTAAGTATGTCTTCAATCTCCGACACCTCGATACAAAAACAACACGAGGAGGTTATTTAGAACAATTGAAGCGTAATTCATTTCAAGAATCTTTGGTTTGCAATAATAACAGATATAGAGCATTTTCACATGACGTCACAGCGGCCATTATGGGGTACCAAAACAATACATTTTCTATCCTCCGGGAATTGAACTCTATTTTTATGCAAATACTGTGCAGAAAGTTTCTATTGTTTATGGCTGCCTTCTCATGTGAGTGAAAACGCTCTATAGTGATGGTAAAGGGAGGTCCTTCCATCCTGTGCCTATATAGACCCCTTGCAATAATTAGCAATTAGTCTTCGAGAACGAATGGGCTATTGACTCATAGGTTATGAGGGCGAGAGGGGCTAATTGTTTTAGTCAAATCTAAATAGTCGGTCAAATATATAGATGCAAACAAGTTTTAAATTCAAGTTAAATTGAATGTATTGCCAGTTTTCAAAGCCAGCACAATTTCGCTAGTAGACTACTGATGACTTATAGCCTAGTAGTAGCTCATCCAATCAGAACGCACCATTGATGATAGACCACAAGTTGGATTTGACTAGTGACAGATATACTGGTGGTAAAAACTGGTGGTAAAATTTTGACAACAGAACAATGACTTTTACTCTCTTGAGCATTAAAAAATATTAATTTTTCTCAAAATTGAGTTACCCTGGAATTTGTTGAAAGTGGTCTCTATAGGCTGGAAAAGCTATTATTCCTGGTTGGSGTCGGACGGAGAGAATAGAGAGGAGATGCACAGGCCAGGAAAATGAAAGCAATCAAGTCAAGTTACTTACTGGTATAGCTGTATTGTTGTTTTTCTTGGCTTGTTCTACCATCTCTCGAATCTTTTTCTGTAAAAACAAGGACAGCATGCATTTAGTAAGTTATAGTTTCAAGCTTGATGTAATTCGGTTAAAGAGATCCATTCAAGACTCAGAATTTTTTCTGAGTCTTTCGATTTGTAGCTGCATAAGTTGCTTCATATACTGCGAGGATCAACTTAATTTGATACGCTACAACCGGAGTACAAATATATATTTCATATTTATTCTCATACACAAAGATCCATTCAGTTGATACGGAATTGAAAGTATAAGGCCCCGTCCACACGCAACCGGAAATTTTTGCATCCGCAAAATGTGTTTTTTTTGTTGTTTTTTTTGCGGATACGAAAATGTTCGCGTCCACACCCAGCGTATTCGAATCGTTTTCGAATCGTTTTCACTGTCCACACGTATTCGGAAATTTCATGATCCGCCCTGATGCACGCTAGTGCCTAGTCCCTTTGACGGATAGTTTTTCTTATTGAGCATGCGCAAAATCGTGTTTACGTCATCGTATTCGAAAATTTAAAAAAAAAAAAAAAAATTGCGGATACAAAAATTTCCGGGTACTTGTGGACGGGACCTAAAAGAACTGCTGGTTTTCATAGCTATTATGGTCAAGCTCAAGAAGTGGTATCAACCCACATGGCCCGCGATATGTCGAGTTTCTACTAACTGTTGTAGTGTAACCACCTGACCGAAAAAATCTTTTGAGATATGAATAACAATAAGACAGCCGCCATCTTGGTTGATCTAGCAATAAAAACGCCTAATGTGATGTCAAGGCAACCAACATGGCGCCTATGACGTAAGATGCACCCCAAGAATACAAAACACCTATTCACAAAGCCAAAAGCCCACTGCAAAATATCCAAGCATACGGCTCCTAACAACAAAGACTATTTTCTCAGCCCCGGCATTGCATTCGATGCCAGAACAAGACCTAGAATCACTTAGCCCCTAGTATTAGGGACCTTAAGCTGCAGGACGGCAACGACGACGACGACGGCAAACATACAATAGCACTAATTGCGCTATTCAATAGATACTCATTGGAATGTACGAAATACTGTGCATCATTGCCGTCTTATGCTGAAARTAAGACGTGAAATGTCCTATTTTTACGTACTAAAGAGAACGGCTACGCCAAAAGCTTATCTTTGCTGATTTTCGTTATAAGTAAAGCGCTCCCAAAAGACGACATTTCACTCTAAAACGGGGATGGTTATTGAGTAAAATACTAGGTAAACACGAAATAATAATACAATAGAAGGTTGAAGCGCTTCAATTTCGCCGACGTTGTCGCCCACGTTGCCGTCCTACAGCTTAAGGTCCCTATTATTCTTATCATGTCTTGTCTTGTTTTTTTCATAAGACAAGATAGGAATGTAAACAGCAATAACCATTCATACTAACCAGTTTTTTCTCTGAACGATCAGCTCGTTTAATAGATTTTGTCATCTGCAGATCACGTGCACGCTGCTCTTCATTAGTCTGAAAGTAATAYAAATAATGAATAAGAGCGGTTTGATCATATTGTACGATCCAGATAACTATAGACGCAGCATGCGTTACCGCCCTATTCTCCCACTCGGCATGCAGGCCTGCATTAGAAAGAGCTTGTGGTTTATCCGTTGAGACTTTCTTACCAAAGAAGGTGTCCTATGTGCTAGTGGTCCACCATTAGCGGGCTGTTGCGGTGTCTGTGTATTCTGTGGTGGGGTAGTTTTGTTGGGTACTGGTTTAGGACCGGGCTGTTCTACTTTGCTTACTTTACGACCTCTCTGCTTACCCCATACTTCGATTACTAGTGGCTGGTTTTGTAAATAATCTAGAAACTGAAATAAATGAATAAGTAAATAAACAAACAAACGAACGGACGGACGGACGGACGGACGGACGGACGGACGGACCAGTACCTCTTACCTGCTTTGTTACTGGCGAATACGAGAATCTCTTGTTGTAACCAAAGTTTGGATTAATTGTGTTCTCAATAGTTCCAGTTGACGAGGCTTGTTTATCCAGATAGAACTTGAAACTACAATATGTTTGACCCTAAGAAAACCAAGACAAACGACCAGATTACGCGATTACCCTTTGAAGGCATAACACTAATGTACTAACAAATCACTCATGATTGTAAGCTGCACGGCTGCTAATAGCGCCTTAATACGCAGCCCGTAAAGTCCTCCACTGGTCATAAATGTAAAGCGCACCGAGACAATGTTAAATATGCTATATAAGAACAGCCCATTATTATTTATCGTAGAAACTTCTAAAGCAATTTGGGATTTAACTGTGGAAGTCGTGCAAACAGAACGTTTTACGGTGGACCACAGGCTAACCACTCAGATAAAAGGAAAACATGAATAATCTTATTTGATTCTACCAATAGAAACACTCTGTCCTCAAGACAGTGACAGCGCGGCAAAAGATGAGACAAAGCGCTAGCGTTTTTATCTGAGTGGTTAGCCTGCGAGTTGACTCTACTTGCAGGGTAAGACTGGAAATGAGGCGGCGGCGGGCGGGGGGTAGTTATCATATTTGGGTATATTACCTATAAAAGAACTTTTTGTATATTGCCGGTGTTACCTCGTACACACAATGAGACCGCTTCGCCGCATATGAACATTAAAACCTCCCTAAAAGCGGGTAATATATCGTACCTTGGAAAACCGGTGCGGGAGACCTCGAGCCGAAGGAATTTTAAAATTAAAATACAAATTCTTGCCAACCTAAAATAAAAGTGAGCACTTGCATTAGGTATCGTCATTTCAACTGGACCGCCACGTGTTATGTAAATGTTGCTCACCAATTCCTCTGGTTCCTCAACGAAATCATCATTGTCTTCATTTCCCTTATCATCACAGGGGAAAATCTCAACCTATGAATGAAACATTTAATATACATTGCAGATATATTGGCTTAGTCCTCATCTGACTGCGAAGCTTGGCATTCGGAGATGGGGTTATGGGGTTACTCTCCCTTTTTCTCTTCTCTTCTCTTCTCTTCCCTTCCCTCCCGTCACTTCACTTCCCTTCACTTCTCTTCCTTTCACTTCCCTCCCTTTCTTTTTCTCCCCTTTCTCTCGCTTCCATCTCCCTTTATTATCTATAAAGATACTTCTTCTCATTCTAAACGCAGCTTTCACTGCATGCATATACGTTTTATCACCGGTATACCTGCAGCGTGCCCTTGTCGTCACCGCGATGGTCAGTGATGGCCAGATTTTCTTCTAACTCAATCTAATCAAAATAACGCGCATTGTTAAAAATATATATAAAGTAGTACATTTCAAACCAGGGGCAGATCTGGGGGCGCGGTTCTGTTGGTTCCGAGTCCCCCCCTCCCCTTTCCTCACTCATTACTTAAAAGAATAGCTCTACTCACTTTGTACGCCAAGCTCTGCAGGTAAACCTGTACAGATCCAATCATAACGTCTACATCATCAGGCTCCCAGAACGGATCTTCCTCCTAAATCGACCAAGAAGAAATGAATCAGAATGCTATCCATTCAAACCAAAATCTTGATAAAATGGGAATGAAATGGGAATTAATATTTGCAGGGCAGGGCAGTGCAGGGCAGGGCAGTGCAGGGCAGGGCAGTGCAGGATTCATCTTCAGTATTTGGGATCGATGTCCCTTTGACTTCCCACTTAGTATTATCGTGCCCCCGTTACCTCAAATCACAGTTACCTTTGGTTTGTCCCACTCCTCTCCTTCAACATAATTCTGATACATTTCCTGCATCAGGTACTTCCGGTTAGAAAACTTGTTCCGGTCCCAAACCCACTCCGCATCATCCACGGTGCTTTTCATCTTTACCTTCACCTGAACRAACAAAGTCAAACAAAAGCAGAAGTCAGTCAATAACAAAGTTAGTAGCATACTGACCATCAGAGTCTTCTGTAACATGGAACGACTTCTGGGCTGATCAAAGTCAGGGCACAGTTAACTCACTGATCAAACCCTGAAACAACCTCTGAGCTGATCTAAGTCAGGGCACAGTTAACTCACAGATCAMACCCTAAAACAACCTCTGGGCTTATCTAAGTCAGGGCACGGCTAATTCACAGATCGAACCCTGAAACAACATCTAGGCTGATCAAAGTCAGGACATGACATGCGCCATGATTTTTAACACTCGTAAAATCTTATCTTCTTTATTCTTATCGATAATGCAAAATTAACCTCGGTTCTGCCTTCCTTTAATCCTCTTGATTGCGGCGAGATAAGCATGAGTTCAAACTTAACCTATTTCAAAAGAAAAATACAATAAGATTAAATCATCGCCATAACAATAATCATTATCATCATCTGTAAATCCGACTTGTTTGATTCGACACATCGACGCAGTCCAAACTAGATGTACCGCTGATTGTCATCGATCATCATTACAACAGATAGACTGAACTTTCTACGTCAGTGATCTATCTGAATCATACATTTCCATTGTTATAAATGATTCTCACCTTCTTTCCCAGTTCTTCACCCATTGCATTCGCTTCGTTTACCATAGGGACGAGCTTCACAAGATCCTCTTGCAGCAGCAATTCATCTGATAAAACAACCTATGCTTTAGACATTCCCCTAAAAATTGCGATTTTTTAATCCGACTCTTTCCTAAAGATTTTATGAGCCAATTTTGTAGTGTGCTGCTATTCCACCTGTGAAATGCTTAGGAATGAATTATGGATTATTATAAAATAACTGCTCTAAATCTCGCGTTCTGATTGGTTTGAAGCGCGTGCATTATGAGAGCACATTCCACGCGCGCGCACTTTCAGTTTCGTCATTTAYGTAATTTGTATTATATAAAAGGAATAAAAAACTTGCTTGCTGTGCTGTGTGAAGTTATAAAGCACTTGGAGATTGGCAGAACACTCGAAAAGTGTCGAGAAACACTCCGCTACGCTTTGTGCTTCTCCTAACACTTCTCTCGTGTTCTACCAATCCCCGCGTGCTTTATAACTGCACACTGCACACGCGCGTGTTTTCTATTTCTTCATGATTCATTATTTATATAGCGCCCTTTCTATATAGATATAATCGAAGGTGCTTTACATTGAGTTGTGAATGCCAGTTTGCCTTTTTATGCAAATTACAATCATGAGAGATGAGGTGGTTAGTATGAGGTGTAGGCAATAATGGTGGTCACTGCCAGGGTTTCTTTATGTCCTCATTGGTTCTTTTACGTGCTCCGATATTGGTTAGTAATGAGGAAGCGTGGAGAGACGGGTCCGCCATTTAAAGAGGTCATCGAGCCACTCGAAAGTCTAACCATTTGTAGTTGTTATTACAAAGGCAGCACTTTCTCCTCAGTTATTTTGAGACCCTGAGTGTTGGTCCGGCTGGGACTCGAACCATGACCTCCCGCACGAAAGTCCGGTACTCAGTCAATTGAGCCGACGGAGTTTCGGTTGTCATGACTATGAAACTGTCTTTCAAAATCTCTTAAACCAATAAAGCACGCACAATTACTGTTCAACCAATATTGGATATTGGATCGCTACGATTACGCATGCATATTACGTGCACTTATTGTTCACACAGTCATACSAAAACTGCCCTACTGACAAAGCAAATCTGATAGACACAAGGAAGAACATCAGAAAAGCTACCGCGTATGGAGTGAAATGGTAGGAAAGCGCACTGTACGAATGTTCAAGATCCTAACTTACCATTTGATTTTCCTCCAGTCTTGTCCATGTTGAAGCCAGAGTTCTGTGCGATCTCTTCCTGTGCCATATCAAAGGTGATCTTTTCTACTTTGCCTCCTGACTGGATGGCTTTGTCCAGTTCTGTAGGGTGGTGCACTACAAACAGGTTACTGGATCCGAACATGACTCTAAACAAACAAAGTAATAAAGTAGAAGCTTCTTCTTAGAATATATAATAGTTTTAGTGACATTATGCTGCTCCTAGCAGCACAAATAATAATAATAATAATGATAATAATAATAATAATAATAAATAATGATAATAATTTTATTACTTAATATAGCGCAAATTCATTAAAATATACGATCTAATGCGCAAAGAAACGTATAAACGCAATTTTCAACGGTGGGAAGGACTAAAATGAAATTTAGTTGTATACGGGTTTCGACGTCTATACCTAGTCACACTTTCCAGGTTAATCTTTCCAAGGAAATAACGTGCGCAAACGTTCAACGAAACTGCTGGCACAAACGTGTTTGACGGACAACATACGCGCACAACCACAGGTCTTACCTCTGTGCCCTGTGGCACAGTTGTTATAGTTTGCTGTAAATGCTCAATCAAATCGTAAAGAGATACAGCTAGGACAACGCTGTTTGATTGACGTACAAAATACGCGCACAACCACAGGTTTACCCCTGTATCGTCTCACCCGCGCAATTTTGAGAGCTTACAATTTGTTTCTTACCTATCATTATGATGTAGTTCTTTTTCTTCTGTGCACGGCTTTCCATTGATTGTCAGCTTTGCGTTCTTAGAGGGCTTGATTTTAATGGTAGTATTTTCACACTTGAGAGAACCGTGATCTGGTAAAATACTACAGAAAAATGTAGACCAAATACATTAACCAACCATTGTGTATTACATATATGGAGCATCAGGATTTCAGTGTAAATCTATTCAAGGTCTTCCACTGGAGACCAACCCTCGTGCAATCAAACACTTATGTAACCGTAGTCCACAACTGGACCCAATTTTAACAATTGTGTTTATTGATTTTCGCGCGCAATCTCAGTACAGCGCACTTTTATTTCATTCCCATGCATTTTTGCACGCCCGCGATGATTTGTATCAAAAATAAACAGAAAAAACAATGGATGCAGACTAGTGTGACGCTTAAATTTGTACCATATCTTCATCTTTTCAACCGTCACGCACACGAATCATGCCGTAAATACAATCGATCTTTCTACAATGTCACGCGCAACAAGTTTCACCCGATTTAGTTTTTCTGTAGGCGTTTTTGGTAATGAGATTTAATCATTTTAGTTTAGTGCGAGCTTGAATACTTTGCGTTTTTTTGCTTGGTTACGTTGCATGGAAACGGCTGCTAAGAGGGATTTTATTACTATACCGTTGCTCAGATATTTGCGTGCTATAGGTGCACCACTCCTCAGGATTCTTCCAAGCCAGGACACAAGGTACAAATGTAACCCACAAAATTGGACCGTTCGTCCAACTTTTCAATCGTACGTTACGCGCACCAGCTGTCCAAGCCTTTAAAGTAGCGCGATATGAAATGCAGATGTTTGGACATTTATCGTATTATAGTGCGCGACGAGAAATGTCATCACAACCTGAAGTGCGCAAGTTTGTTAATGTTATCCTTACCTCAGACCGCTCAGTGTTATATCAGCAGGTGGGTCAGCTTTACGATTACCAATTCTTTGTGTACCTTGAACATAAATTGAACGTCGTTAATGCTGGTGCCTAACTAGACTCCTAAACCCTACAATCTCTACCGACCTGGTTTAATGAAGTGAACTATCATGTTCGACAGCTGAGGATCCTCGTTCAAGTTCCAGAAGTGCGGAGTAGTAATACGCATCTCTTTTTCTCTCTTCTCCTCCTCTTCTTTCGCCTTGTACAAAAATCAAATGATTTGTCAGCAATTTATTTTCCTCCGATATTCGCAGATGAAATGAAGAAATAGAAAACGCGCGCGCGTGCTGTGTGCAGTCATAAAGCACGCGGGGTTGGCAGAACACGAGAGAAGTGTTAGGAGGAACACGATGCGTAGCAGAGTGCTTCTCGAAACTTCTCGAGTGTTCTGACAAACCCCAAAATTTCATTATCAAGTACTGACCTTGTATGCTGCCTCTGTTTCCAATAGTCTTTCCTTCCACGATTTCTCCATTTGTTCCATCTCCATTTGATTCCTTTTTAACTGTACATAGAAAGTGGCATTCACCATTAGGCTAGTGTTTAACCCAACTAGAATAAAGAAGTTTCATTCCTACCTGTTCTTCCATCTCTTTCTTCATTTCCTCCATTTCTAAAAGTCAAATAATAAAAATAATTTGAAACTACCAAAATGTCTCGAGCTAACAATGCTCAAATAACTGTTAAGTTTAAAAGTGAATTCCAATATTGTTTTCAAGCCATGTTTTGTAAAAATTCAATCGCACGTGATTGGAGATTTTCAAAAAGAACTCTGCTTTTTGGCTGCTTTATGGATTTTAGATGTGAAGGTTAGACAGTTTTTAGAGCAGACCAACGGTGTTCATGGTATTGTTTTCCACTGTATATGTACCCTACAGGTCACGTTAAAAACATTCGAATTTTATGGATACCCTAAAACTGATCTAGGTCAGGCAGTACGCGGCAAACTCACAGATCGAACCCTGAAACAGCCTTTGGGCTGATCAAAGTCAGGGCACGGCTGACTCGCACATCGATTTGAAATTTAGCGTGTTACGTTTTATGGTCGGAGGAAAACTCGAAAACCTGGAGAAAACCCCTCGAATCAAAGGAGATCCAACAAACTCTACTCACATGTGATGCCGAGTTCAGGAATTGAACCTGAGACCCCAGATTTGAAAGGCAATTGCAATACCGCTATGTAAGTAAGAAAGCCAATTGGAGGCTATATGCTCTTCGAAAATTGAAGAAAGTTGGCTGCCTCAGTCTAATTCTTTCTGTTTTACAATACGCTTCAGTTGTGGGAGGGAGGGTCACTCCCTCACCCTTCTAAAGAGAGTACCAACTAACATACCTTCTTCTGACGGTCCACCTGGCTGCTGCTGTTCAGGTGCCTCCCCCTGGACGTACACTACACCTCCCTTTTTAATCTGTTCCATTAGTCGTGCATTCTCTTCTCTCAGCTCACGGATCAGTTTGTCAGTTGGGCTTTCGTTCACGACGGCTTTCGTTTTAATGGCTTTTGCTCGGTCAGCTGTGTATAGTTTGAATAAAGACTTATTAATTAATATACTTTCATTTTCTAACTTTTTGGAAAACAAGATTACGATATTACGATACATTTTTTTCGCATCTACTCTGAATACAATTTCATGATTCTCGTTCAGTCAAGAAGCTCAAACAAAAGTATTGGTATGAGAATTTTTGTCCAATTTTCTGCAATTTTACATTAAAAAAAGAAGTTTCTCTCTGTAAAAATTATCAGGCAAAACTTACCAAACCTCAAGGTTGAAAGAGTTTCTTCATAATTAATATCGGCTGGACTGAGTGCAGCAATCTGTTTTATAAAGAGGTTATATATGAATTTCAACTAGACTGAGCAAAATGAAACGCATAAAAAACCTTCAAGTACACTTTTCCTACCTAAACATTTAAAAAAAATGGCTAAATAAATGGCCATCACTAACATACCATTATTGTCTTGCTGTTGCCTCCAAGAGCATTTTTGAGCAATTTTGTTAGGACTGAATCACGAAACGGAACTAGAAAAGAAAATAGAGTGCACTTTTTTATTAACATGAACAAGATCATGATCAAGAGCACTACAACTAAAAAAGCAGTAGAAGATTGTATATTTGAAAAATTATTTTTGAGATCAGTCGAAATGTTCAACTTACCTAGAACATTCTTTTTTCCTGAACTTTGATCAGCCAAGGCTGAAAGCAAAAGCAAAAGAAAACCATCAACTATTGATCAAGGAATTTCAGAATGTGTACTGATATAAAGAAAACGTCGACACAAATTCTTTTAACTGTAAATATATAAGAATGAATAGTAACCTTTGATGCAGTTTCCCAACATTGATAGCGATTGATTGATGGCAGAACCTTCTTTCAGTCTGTCCCCTGTAGCACCAGTGGATTCAGCACGTTCACTGTGTTGTAAATGAAGGAAAACGTTAGCCAGGATGTTTGATTGGGATGTAAAAGTAGCATAGCAGTGAAACTGCTAGCCCCAAACTCTCACCCATGAGACATGTGACCCCTAATGTCAGTCATATATAGGGAGAGGTGCTTGTTAATTTTCTCCATGTTCTCTTACTTTCCCTACTTTTTGATGTAAAGTGCTTTCTTTGCAGCTACCTTGAAATCTCAACATTTTGGTCCAAACTCCCACCCTTCTGGAAAGAGGGAACTTATCTCATTTATAGACACTCAAAAAAAGGGAAAAAGTGTTTTGAAAATCCAATTTAATTTGATTTTATAAAATTTATTTTTCCTTAACTTCTTAATCCACAGCTGCTGTAATTCACTGGCCATTTATTCTACAGCTGCATAGTTTTAAGGCCGGCACACATGAGGGAGCTTGCTCCTGCGACACGCTCCCGCAACATGCTCTGGGAGCAAAGTTCCCTCGTCTGAACCAATGATTTCAATGATTTCGGGAAAAAATGTTGCGCAACAAAGCTTTTGCTCCTGGGTTTTGCTTCCTCATATCAAAATGGTTAAATATGATGGAGCAAGCTTGAGGAGCAAATCTGTTGCAAGCTCCCTCGTGTGTACTGAAAATTTTATTACCGCGCAACAACCTGTCTCCAGTTGTCCAATCAAATTGGCTTATTTGTTAAATTTATAACTAGTTCCATGCTCCAATTGGGTTGTTTCAGCGYTTAGCTCCCTTGTGTGTACTGGTCTAGCAAAATGACCCAGGATTACCCACGAGCATGTTGCGTGTTGCGAGAGCAAGCTCCCTTGTGTGTGCCGGCCTTTAGAGTTGATTATTATGACATTGTTAAAAGTGTTGGCTATAGAATAGGGGCGCTTACCATTTACCTGGAAAAACCGGAAATTTAGTTGGAAAACAAATGGTATGTATCATTCCGTTCAAAAAGTTCCAGAAAACTAGGTCTCCTGATTAATGTAATCCACTTTTTCCGCACTTTTTGGTTCTTTCGATAGACAGGTGCACCACTTTTCGAAAGTCAAAGTTTCCTGCTTTTCTAATTCTTACCAATTCAGTGAATGAATTTCCAACCTGATGGATTGGTTTAAATGGTAAGCACCACAGGTCTCTTGTTTTGACTAACCTTCCAGCAAGATCTACCAAGTTAACTATAGATGTCTTGGTCATGTTCTGTCCTGCTTCATTTTTACTTTTCTGACTGAAGTTGATGGCCACAATAGTGTGTGCCCGACTGGAAATGACAAGAAGGCAAAGTTAATATCAATGTTTACACATTTTTGCATAAAATAAAGTAGATGCAGGCCCATCGCTAGGACCTTGAAAGTGGAGGTTTGTTTTTCTACCAATCTTACTTATGCCATGATAAGCATTGCATTGCGGTAAAGGTTAATGCTTAATGGTAAAACAACTCAGCTGAAACAAAGCAATAATTATGGTCATCATAACAATAATGAGAATGCTGAAAATCCATTTTTGATTGTTCAGCAATACAAACCGACCTATCAGCAATCACCATTTGAAAAACAATCACCTGCTAGTGGCATTCATGTTTGTGGCAGCTACTGTTCTACTCTTAGTGCCTTCTTCTATGCGGTTGTCAATGTCTGCATAACTTTTCACAGGTACTGTCACAAGACTTTCCACTATGAAAAACAAGATGATGAAAGTCTTACCAACGCCATTGGTTAGATCAAAAAGAGGAATGGAGTGAACATTTGCTTTTAAATACAGGCTGGTCAGGGGGCAGAAAAAGACCTTGGTTTAGATCAAAAAGAGGGATGGAGTGAACATATGCTTTTAAATACAAGCTGATAGGAGGGCAGAAAAAGACAAGCAGGGTATACATTATAATCATACCTTGGTAAAATTACTTTGAAATGAGATTCAAGTTGCAAATGTTCTGGACAAGGCAACACAGTCATTATATGAAACCAGATTTTGAGAGGAAAGGTTGGGTTCATCATGGGCAGATCCAGGAATTTTAGAAGGGGTTGACTATTATAACAAAAGTTTTACCAGAAATTTGAGGAAAATGGGGGTGACTTTTACTACCCCTGGATCCGCTGCTGGGGTTATTTGGTACCCAACACCTCGAGAAGTGAAATTCTGGATTGTGTTCTCAAGTATCTTCAAAACTGTAGAAATGAATGCACTGTAGGCTAGAAATAGTTTTTAGTTAGTAGGGTCCCTGTTTGAACCATTGTCTTGACCTGGCCTCTTAATATAGAAAGCTAATTAAATGTTGAAAGCCACCCAAGTGCTCCTTATCAGAATCCATTTCACTTCAAACCCATTTCAATGTTTTTTTACATAACCATATAGGAAAAATAAGAAAGTTATCATCCCATGTTGTGTTCATACCATAAAACCCTTTATTTGGGTGTTGTCTGACTTTTAATCCACCCTTCTTGTTACTTGCAGGATTCAATAAATCTCTGACCTAAGAATAAAATATAACTCAAGGTCCATTCTCATTCTATGACAGGGCAAAAGATAATGGCTGGTCAAGGGACAATATGAGGACAAATAGGCCCTTTGCATTTAGCCGTCATGTGGTTGTACTGTAGAGCAAATTTTTTCTTTTTCTTTTAAATTGGTGATTCTTTTTAGCTATGAAGAACTGAATGAAACGATGTGTAACCAGTGCATTATGAAATGCATTTATTATGATCTCTCAAAACAGGTTGTAGAAAGTGTGTTTGCATTCCTGTAAATTTCACCCATGGGAATCAAAATGTTCATTCATTTGCTCTCAGTGAATTATTCAGCAAGTGATTACTGAGCTGCAAAGGGAGGGCCTATTGGCACATCTCAACTTAAGCTAGTCTTTACATTCACTTTAACCAATCACATGTCAATCAGTCTGATTTGGCCAATCATCATGTCCTGCCATTTAGTTGTGGCTGTTTGTATATATAATATAAACTTAGCCTGATATAAGCTTAGCCTATACTATCATATCAAGTTACCTGTTCATTATAAATTTCCAGCATACTCAGTGCGACCTATAAAAATGGAACCAAGTAGAATATCTTAAAATGGATTTCACTACAAGTTCTGTAAGTACCAGACGATTTGAGCAGTGTGTGCTGTTAACAAAGTTGAGCCCATAATAAGATGTCCTTTTGTTTTAAGAATCATACAAGTGAGGCTATAAGGCCAATAAAATGCTTGTTGTCTGATTTGCATCTCATTTCCATGCATTGATAATAACTGCCATTTCAGTTAAATAAATAGTAGCATTAAGAAGGCATTGTTTTTTCACCATTCATTTGCAAAATTTATTCACATTTTAGCTGTTTCTAAAATTTTCAATCACTTCTCATGAACTATATGTGGCTGCCAGAGGCACCTTCACATTGCTTCCCATTGAGCTGACTCCCTGTCAAATAAATTGTAGTTACCTGGAATTCTGCCTTTACTCCACTATTCTTTTTTTCATCAATTTCTTTAAAGAGTGTTTCACAGAATATTGGTACTATTCCTGTAATGAAAAATGCTGAAATTATAATTGCATGAGTGAAGAATTGAAACTTCTATGCATTTGTTGTTACCTTTATTTGCACCATATCCAACCATAGAATAGGATTTTCCAGATCCTGTCTGGCCATATGCAAAAAGGGAACAGTTGTAGCCTTTCCATGCATTGGCCAAAACACCTTGTCCCAAATCATCAAAGACCATTTTCTGTAAAATACGAATTTCAATAATTATATAAAATAATGTGACTTTTTCATTTGGATATTCATACAATTGTGAAACAGCATATTCAAAGGTAAAATCACAGTGCAAGAGATTACTGCTTATAATCCAATCAAAACGCCCCAATTAATAGACATATTATGTAAGTCTTTCCAAGGTCAACATAAAAAGTAAGAAAGACTGTATGGGTTAAGGGACTAAAAAGATATAACTAGCTAAAAACTAGTGTGACTACTAAAAACTAGGGTTAAGGGACTGTTTATTTTTTATTGCAGAGGGGGGCGGCGACGGCTTTGATCATGAGTGGAGTCATTAAAAAATCAGGTTCATATTTTTTATCAGGGAGTGGGGCAGCACTAGGATTTGAGAGCAGTAATTAAAGAACACGCTCAAGAGAGGGGGCCACAAAAAAAATCTCCGCACTTTTACAATAAATAGCATTGAAAACATGCAAGGAGACAATTCTTTATGCAACAACAAAGAGGGGCTCACAATTCTTTTATGGGTTATGGTGAATCCCACTGCTCCCCCCCCTCCCCTATAAAAAATGAACCCTCTCTAAATACACAATTGCTTTTTTAACTTACTTGATCAGCATACTTAGGATCAGTTGGCTCAAGGTAGCCATTATCTTGCTCTTTAAAACAGTCATGTGACCAGTAGCTAAAATCAAAGGCAAATTTTTTAGGTTCAGCATTGGGAGCTTCAGGATCCCTGATTTCTGTATTATTTCCAATCATATTGATGATGAGCTTGGCATTTCTAGCTTTTTCACGACTGTTGTATAAAATGTTAAGGACCATATATACACATTATATTTCATAATAAATTCACAAATAAAAAACCTGTTTCTATAGCAACCGTCGATTCCTTTTTCTCAAATTCAGAGACCATTAGAGGATGGAATGTGGGAGTAAGAGTCTGAATAGGATGAGTAAATAAGCTTAATTCAAAAGCAACAATGGTAGTCTTGCATACCATTATGTAAGCGTATGTAAGCGCCTTCACGGTCGCATGCTTTTTTCAATAGCTCTACAAGATTTTTGAGTTTTTAGTATAGATTTAGGATTTTTTTCACATTTTTCCAATTTGTAGATATTTTAAGAACTTTTATTAGTCTTAGGACATTTTTTTCGACATTTTATATC